CAACAGGCTTAACTTAATAGGCTAAGTGTATTGCCCACTTCAGACATATATTTGCGTTGGCCAGTGTTGATTACGATAATGAGATCGATACTGGACTTGTTACAGATAAATATTATTGGCTGGAGGGATACAAGCGTCGCTTTCCTACAATCTGCATTCGATTGTGTGTAGGTACGCGGAAATATTATTTATCCTTCAAGAAAATAGGCTTTTTCATGCTTTTAACTTTCCCCTTTCAAGGTTTTGTTTGGCAACAAATAACAAGAATATGGAACAGTGGACTCCGAACCTATGCAATGGATATGTGGCACCTGCTGGATTTCGTGCAGAACTCTCTTTATATATGCACTATAGCCCTCCGTGTTGTTGCAATAATTAGGGTATGTTGAACGATCATAAAAGGCGTGAAGTTTTACTAACGTCTAGGATTATCAGTTGATATCATAAAGATTTTAAGCGTTGACACAGAAAGTTTTAGCCTAAATAGCATCACCTTAGCAACATCCCATAAAAACGCTTGCTTCAACCTATATTTTTAATTCGATGCCAGCTACTTGATCTTCATACAGATAATGGTCTGCGGTAAGTGTTAGTAGATGTGCATGTATTCTAAGATTTAATAAATTGCATAAAATAGTTCCATGAACGTTAACCAATAATGTTCCAAAGAGGTGTTTTGCTATAAGGCGTTTCTGCATGCTGACTAGACATGGTTTTAATCGCAAGCTTATTCGTACATTTACGTTAATTGCGATGTCTTCGAGGATAAAAAGCATGGTGAATTGCTGCAATCATTATTATTTTCATAATACACATCATCGATTGATTTCGGCTCATATTAAATGCGATAGCATTTTCAGATCTCACGAATAGCAACAAGTGCCTAACCTAAGCAAATTTGAGTGATACCTAATATTTATCCCTGTTCTAGCTGTCAGTTAATGAGATGACGCCCAGCCTGAAAATTAGATGAAGATTAAGTAAAGCCTGCATTAGCTAACTTATTTCATGAAGTGGTGGCTGCAGTTGGAAAATGTTTCTTTAATTAAACACTGATTGCTTAAATGTGGCTGTACATTTACGTATCGTGCAGCAGAACTCTTATGTTTATGTTGGCTTATAGTTTTAGGGACCTTAGATTGGTCCAACGTTTTACACAGCCATCATAAGACAGTAACCTTTATAGATTAATTTAACTTGTGCATATTTACCCATTTCCTAGTTTTGTACTATTTTCTGCGTATACGCTTGTTTATCTCTCCTCCGTAATATTGCTGCAATTGAATTCCAAAGGTTAACCTTTACAAGGAGCCTGCTGTTCTCAACAGAGCGCAATGGAACGCGTACGACCCTGTCCTCATCTCCGAGTGTCTCTTTGCAATTGCAAACATTTTCGCCACATTGCGACTCATTTACGTTTTTACTGTCAGTCCACAGCTCGGACCCCTGCAAATATCCCTCGGACGCATGGTCAATGATATTCTTAAGTTCTTCTGTGTGTTTAGTCTTGTCATGGTGGCCTTTGCCTTTGGTTTTAACCAGCTCTTCTGGTTCTACGCTAACACCCGCTACAATCGATGCAAGGATGTTCCGTTCAGTTTGGAAGAAAATGAAAGGGAAGTTTGGGATTATTGCAAAACAACTGGACGATACTTCACCAAGTAAGCCAATACCATCGTCTTCTGTATATGGGGTTAGTATGTGTGTGCAATATAGTTTGCCTTAGTTTGCATTAGTACGGTTTCGGTCGAGGGAGATTTTAATTTAAAGTGATACCCAGGTAAAAATATCTTCTTTACAATAACTATTATAAACTATTATAACGAAAATAAAAGTGAGGTGGTTTTGTGGTATTAAGGATTTGGAGTTGAATATGTAGCTGTTAAGATTATGGACGCGGCTATTTCTATTTAGAATTTTTAAATCGCACGTTCTGCATACACTTTATAGTTACAAATATTTATTTGAATACAGAATTGGAAGAAAGTGGCAGCTGCTACCAATTTAGTACGATAAATAATAGCTTCTTGCACATTTTCACTCGAGTTACTTGAATTTAAAAACGACGTTAAAGTTTTTGTTATAGCGTGTAAGATACGCAGGTTGCTGGAAAGTAATTCATTTAAAAACTGGCATCTTATCGCCACGGAAATATACTAGGATACGGCTGCAGGAAGCTTATTCTTCCAACACTGTTTTAGAATTCGTTTTTCAAATTCCGTATTTACTTCAGAATTTCAGTGGAAATTGTTGGGCTAACAAATGAACCTTAAATACATGCTTGACGTATTAGAATAAAAAAA